GCCAGGAGGCCGGAGCGAGCTCGAGGGGCGCCCCTGTCAGCCCCACCTTCCCCCGCCAAGAGCCACAGTGTGCACGGCTCCCATGCCGCCGCCGGGAGGCTTCAGGAGGAGGCCACGAAAAGGCTGCCTCACCCGCCCGTCCGGCACCAGGTCTCCACACCCATCATGGCCCTGTCCGGGGCCTGCCTGGGAGAGCCGAGGATGCTCTCCCCCACCTCCACCTTGGCTCCGGCTCTGATGCCGGCTCCAGCCCCAACCCCGACCCCGCTGCCCGCCCTGGCACCAGTCCCGGTACCCCCCCAGAGCCCCAGCTTGCTCACCTTCATCTGCCCCTGGGAGAACGCAGAACTGCCGGTCAAGAAAGGAAATGTAGCTCCAGAGGGCCCCGCGGGGCCAGAGCGAGGCAACCACTCCCCTGCCCCGGCTCGGGCCAAGCTCTGGAGGGCCCTCTCAGTTGCAGTTGAGAGAAGAGGGACGGGGGAGAGTGGGATGGCCACAGAGGATGGACGTCTCCAAGGGGAAGCCGGTGAGGGGGACGAAGACAAGTCCAAGGTCTTCTCTAAATCCCACAGCCTCAAGACCCCTGTTCAGCAGGGTTCCATGCACAGTCTCGGCCTGGCTATCAAAGCTCTGACCCGTTCTCGGAGCACTCACAGAGAGAAGGAGAGCGGGGAAGGGAGTCCTGAGCCGGAGGAGAAGGGCAGAGCCTCGGGAGAGGGCGTGGGGGCCTGCCCCCGATCTCCCAGGCTAGGCCGGCCCAAGGCCGTGAGTAAGCAGGCCGCCGTCGCACCCTGTGACGATGAGGAGACCCTCCAGAACCAACAGAACGCTCACACCAGCAGAATGCTCCAAGTCTACCACCAGGAGGGCAGCAGGGAACAAGAAGAGGGAGGCAGGAGGGCATCCCAAGGTCCCGGAGAGGCAAAAGTAGAGAGAGACGGTAAAGCGGGTTCTGCTGCACTGAGGCAAGCCAGGCAGGGCACAGTCGGGGACAAAACTGCCGAGCGAGCAAAAGAAGCCCCCGTGGGCTGGCGGGAACCTCCCAAAGCTGGCCTCCAGCCCACGGGCAGTGCTGACCGCAGGATGGCAGAGGTATGCCCCAGGGAAGTCGCCCAGTCAGAAGCAAGTCAGCCTGACCGTGGCAACAAGGCCCAGATCTGCCCCTGGGAGGTGAGTGAAGGGGCCCCTGAGAAGGGGACACAACAACAAGCTCTAGATGACTCCCAAGAGAGAAGGAAGGCGTCGGAAAAGTCAGGGCCCCAAAACGTGGCTGTCGTTGCTCGGAAAAAGCCAGAGAGGCTGGTCAGGGGGCAGGAGGTGGTATGTCCCTGGGAGGGTGCCGATCCTGGGAGTCTGTGCTCTTGGTCAGCCTCTCAGGACGCTGACAGAAACGACGGCAGGTCTGAGGCAGCTGGCCGGCGAGATGCTAGAGAGGTGGAGAAGCCTCAGCAGGGAGCCACAGGCCCAGGAGCTTGTATATCTGACACTACCAAGGCAGAGCTCTGTCCCTGGGAGGCATGTGAAGGAGAGAATGGAAAACCATTCCAGGAGGGAGTGAAGCTTCCCCAGGAAAAGCAGGAAACCCCCAAGAAAGCAACCTTCTGGAAAGAACAGAAACTGAGTGGAGACTTGGAGTCTTTTTGTCGGTGGGAGAGGACAGATTTCCGGGGTCCCTCAGCAGTCTCTACTCCAGCCCCGGGAACCCCTGTGTGCTCCGGGAGTTTGGGCAGTAGCGTCTCGGAGGTGTGTCCATGGGAGGCAGGAGATGCTCCCGTCAGGAAAGCAGAGGTCTGTCCCTGGGAGCTGGGTGATGAGGTAGTGGGGAAGGAACTGCCGAGTCAGGGGACAGGTGGAGAATTTCTCCAGGGAAAGGGGAAAGCCTCTAGAAAAGGGCTCTTTGGAGAGATGGGGGAACAAACTGGAAAAGCAGTGCAGAAAAGTAGTCAACAGCAGGAGTCAGTGTGTCCCCAGGACAGCACAGCCCCTGGGCACCCCAGCCCATGTCTAGATAATTTCTCAGCCAAAGGTGGTGGCCAACTCCTCAGCAATGGAGGAAGCAGGGCAACACAGGTATGTCCATGGGAAGATCCCAGGCCAGAGCTGAGGGAAGTAACACCTGCCAGGGCAGAACTCTGTCCCTGGGAGGTAAATGAACGAATAAGAGAGGACTGGACATCAGGACAGGCAGCAAAAGCAGGAGAATCTCCAAAGGACAAGGAGAAAATGCCTGGAACATCAGGAATCAAAGATGGTGCAGCTTGGGAAAAGCCTGAGGGACAGCTCCAAAATACGGAAACAGTCTGTCCTTGGGAGAATGTGGACCCTGGCAGCTTCTCCCCACAACCAGGTCCTCAAGACACAGGTAGAGCCAAAGCCAGTTTCCACATGTCAGGCAGCATGGGAGGCAAAACTGCTGAGATCTGTCCATGGGACATGGAAGAAACCATGCGTGCTGAGAAGGCTGAGGTCTGTCCCTGGGAGGTGAGTGCTGGAGCAAGGCAGGAAAGAGCTTTGGGAGTTGAAGCCATTAGGAAATTTCCAAATGACACAGGAAAGGCTTCTGCAGGTCCTGGACCCGGCGAGATAGCTGTTACCTCTCCAAAGAAGCCGGAGAGGCCAGCCTGGGAGCAGGAGGTGGCCTGTCCCTGGGAAAGCTTGGATCCAGGGGGCTCCTCTCAGCATTCGGACACTCTGGGCACTGACAGACCAAAAGGTGGACTCCAGGAAATGGACCATGTGGGGTGCAGGGCAGCTGAGGTGTGTCCCTGGGAAGTGGAGGAAGCACCTACCAGTGAGAAAGCCAAGATCTGTCCCTGGGAGGTGAACGAAGGAGCTACTGGGACAAGATTGGAACAAGAAAGGGGGAGTGACTCAGCAGGACAGGAGAAAATTCTAGAAAAGGGGAGACTCCCCTCCCTGGGAGAAGACAGATCAAAATGGGAGACAAAACAGAGTCAAGAAGAGGAAGCTAGTTGTCCTTGGGAGAAGGACTTGAGGGCTCCCTCTGCTCAGGGCCCTGAGGTCTCAGACTCATCCCTCAGCACGAGTGGCAACATGAAAGAGGGACATTCCTTGCAAGCGAGGGATGAGGCAGTGGAGGAAGGGGACCTGACACAAGATGCAAAGATGGGCTCCTTCCCAGAACACAGAACCCCAGTAGAAGCCCTGTCTTCAAAAGCAGGAGAATTCACTACTGAAGATAGGGGGAAAGCAAGCAAAGAACTACAATCTGTCCGTCCACGGGAGAGCATGACCCCGGCAGGTGATTCCTCCCACCCGGACGGTCAATGCCGTGACCAACCTAAGGCCGGCTCTCAGGACCTGGCTGGCGTTGGGGGCAGGCTTGCTGAGGTGTGCCCGTGGGATGATCCTAACCCTGATGGCAGCGCCAAAGCTGATATCTGCCCCTGGGAGGTGACTGAAAGGGTCCCTGACGAAGGGATGGCAAGACAGGATGGGAAAGGGACACCTCAAGAGAAGGGGAAGGTCCCAGGAAGACCAGAGCCCCAAATTGTGGCAGTTCAGGAAAAGCCAGAGAGGGCAGATGGGAAACAGGAGGCGGTGTGTCCCTGGGAGAGTCAGGATTGTGGGGGTCCGTCTCCGCAACCAGCCCCACAAGCTTCTGCCAGAAGCGAAGGCAGTTCGGAGGCAGCAGGCAGTGTGGGGGCCAGGGTGGCAGAAGTGTGTCCGTGGGAAGCAAGAGAGTCTCCATCTGCTAAAGAAGCAGACATCTGCCCTTGGGAGGCGAAGACAGAAGCTGCTGAGAAAGGGGGACTGGAACAAGAGGTGGACGGAAAATCCCAAGGGCGAGGAGAGATGATCCCTCAAAAGGCGGCATCTCCGAGGACTGAAGAACACTTTTCAAAAGCAGCAGCAATAGTCAGCAGAGAGCAGGCGACAGTCTGCTCAGGTTCCGGGGAGCTCCTCCCCCAGCCAGAGGCTCCGGACACTGACCAACCCCAAGTCAGTCCCCACGGAGTAAGCAGTATGGGGAGCAGGATGGCAGAGCTGTGTCGATGGGAAATCACAGATCCAGAAGGAAATAAAATAAAGGGCACCATGGCAGACATCTGTGATTGGGAGGGAACCGGAGCCCCACCTGAGGAATCTGGCCTTCTGGCTTTAACAGCAACTCAGACAGAAATATTTTTCCCCCCAGCCCCTGAGAACCCACCATGCCTTTTAGTCCACAGACCTCCGGGTAGCTTCCTTCCAGAGAGCAAGAGCCCCCGCCCTGAGGGGAGCAAGGCAGCCACTACTTTTACTCTAGAAGGGGTCCGAGAACTCCAAGGAGCTTCAGGACACGAGCCAAGGACCAGCTCAGTCCCAGAGCCAAGTCTCCAAGAAGCTGAGGCTCACGAGTCTTCCTCCTTCGCTGAAGACAAAGAAGTGGCTTCTATAGCTCCATATGAAGAACTCTCCCCTCCAACTGTCTATCCTTGGGACTGCGAGTAACAGATCCATCGGGTGAGGCCAGACATCTGGTGGCTGGTTTTCTTTTTTTTTTTTTTATTTTTTTTTCAACGTTTATTTATTTTTGGGACAGAGAGAGACAGAGCATGAACGGGGGAGGGGCAGAGAGAGAGGGAGACACAGAACCGGAAACAGGCTCCAGGCTCTGAGCCATCAGCCCAGAGCCTGACGCGGGGCTCGAACTCACGGACCGTGAGATCGTGACCTGGCTGAAGTCGGACGCTTAACCGACTGCGCCACCCAGGCGCCCCTGGTGGCTGGTTTTCAAGAGCCAAAGTCCTTTCCAAGTCCTCCATGTTCCCCAAGAGCCGAGTCAAAGACACTTGGCCACTTGCCCTCTCCATGAAGGCCAGAAGTCAATCATTCGGACAACAAATTGTACAAGAAGGGTGCAGCTCAGACCCCAACAGAAAGTCTTGTCCTCTCGTTACTTCCCACTCTTCTTCCTGCTCCAGGGAACAAAGGCGAGACCCTCTGCTTCTGACGAATCCCCCCATCCGGCTAGAGGACTCGACACAGCTGTGTCTGGACACTCATAAGGCCAGTGTTTGGGATGAAAGGAAGTCAGCAGTGCCCAGCCCACATTTTCTCATAAAAAGACCTCTTTTTTTTTTTTTCAACGTTTATTTATTTTTGGGACAGAGAGAGACAGAGCATGAACGGGGGAGGGGCAGAGAGAGAGGAAGACACAGAATCGGAAACAGGCTCCAGGCTCTGAGCCATCAGCCCAGAGCCTGACGCGGGGCTCGAACTCACGGACCGTGAGATTGTGACCTGGCTGAAGTCGGACGCTTAACCGACTGCCCCACCCAGGCGCCCCAAAAAGACCCCTTTTTTGAGAAGAAACTATAAACCATGCAAGGCACTGGCAGCGTTAGGGTCTGAGGAATGCTATAAAAGGTCATCACAGGAAGCTTAAGAAGCCACTTAACTCAAGTTCAAAGATCAATCAGGGGGAAAACCTTGAGTTTATTTGTTTTGAGAGAGAGAGAGACAGAGCAGGGGAGGGAGTGAGAGAGAGAGGGAGAGAGAATCCCAAGCAGGTTCCACACCATCAGCGCAGAGCAGGGGGGAAACTTAATGGCTCAAAAAAAGTACCCAAAATGCCTTAAAGACCTGGTCATTTTGACTTTGGAGCTCCAGTTTCTGCTGTGTTGATCCTCATACCTGCCCTGGTTGGCTGCTCAGGTAGAGCCAATCAAGCACTCTTCCTTCCTTATCAACATCTGGCATCCAAAGCAACACCAGAGACGGCATAGAAGGCAAGGCAGCGGCTCCATGTCCTCCCCACACTGGCCAAGGGAAAGTTCTCCCTTCCAGACACCCCCTCCAGTTTAAGGAGTGTGCCTCTTGCTAGCTTTTTCAAATCGTTCCTCCCCACTTCTGCCCCATCTTTGGCTAGTCTCAAGCTCATCTCACTGGCTCATTCTCCTCCCAGCCTTTCAGGGCTGTCACCAATGGGACCCCTCTCTGCTTGTCCACGCAACTGGAGGCAGGGGAATTTCTGGCTCTGATGTGAGAAGCACTCCAAACCGCTTGCTCAGTAACAAGAGGCCCACAACAGTTACCTTCCTGAGAAGCGAGAAAGAAGGTCCTGTTTGCAGTCAGCACAAGAATTACCCTCAGAAAGAGTAGCGCTACAGGGCAGGTTGTCCTGAGGACCGGTGAAAAGGCATCATGTAAACACAGTTTTCTTCTTAGTGAGCTCGGCTCTATCCTCTCAAGTCAGTTCAGGCTACCCCGGCTTAAGTAATCCTAGAGACCAGTGCCGGAATAGGAGGAGGTTAACCAGAGGGAAACAAGGAAGGAGAAAAGCACTGGTCAAAAAAGCCCTAGAATTGGCAGGGGTGACGTGGGGGGAGGAAACAGGCTGAGCCGGGCAGGGGCACTGAAGATGGCAGGAAGCCCACCCTCTAACTGCACAGATACTGATGCCATTCACGGGGAAGAAAAAGACAAAACGAGAAGACCAAATACCCAATGGGGAGGAAAAAAATGAGTCTGCATACAAATACTGTAGGCAGATTCAGGACTTTACAGAAGTAGCAAAATGCTCCATTTCCAAAAAGAAGGAATGGAAAAACTTTGTCATTCAGGGACCAGATGCCCCTGTTCCCATATCTAGCCTCTCCCACTTACCTGGTCCCTTGGCCTGGGATTTCAGGGGAGTAAAATGTAGTGTTGCTCTGGGCTCCTGCTAGTTAACCTCACCACTCCTAAGTCGGTGAGAATTTTGCTAACCGCACAACAGAACAATTCCATTGTGTCTGGTCTAGCTGGGAACAGAAAAGTGATTCCTTTCACTGCTGTGAAATAAACCATGGGGGAAAAAAAAATAAAGAATGCTTTCTCTTGACCACTAAGCAGTGGGTTCTAGCTTATTCATTATGGTGATTTTCTTTTTTCCAACATTTTTAGAGAGGGACAGATCGGTCAAACAAGAGCAAGCCGGAGGTAACTACACTGCGGCCTTCAGGACTTTGAGGTGGTCTGGCTAATTCTCGGCCTGTATCCAGCTCCATGGCTGGCACTGCAGATGGTCTCTGCCTGGCCCTTCAAGCAAATCCTTCACATCTGGGCCATTTGCTCAGCTGGACTTGATCCCAAGGGGAAATGAAAATTGCACTTATCCTCTGGCTCCCTGGTGGCAGCTACCGCTTAGCTGCTATTTAGGATTATCTAGAGACCCCTGAGACAGATCTAGGGGAGTGGGATGAAACAGCTTATTTGAAGCACTGTTTTTATATATTCAGAGAAATCAATCGGTCATGTGCCCACTAAGCGTGTTTCTTCACATCTCTGCTTCCCTGCCCTCCCTGGATTACTTCCCCTTCCTCCATACTCCCCAGCTGTGGATCCTGCTGAAAGCACTTGCCTTCTCATTTTGCCTTAATCCAGGGCTCAGGCAAATAGGATGTGGCCAGACCTCACTTCAGACATGCTGCAGACTGATGTACATTTTAAGCCAAAAGGGCTGAGACTAAACGGTATATGATAAAGAGTGGCTGCTCTGGATTAAGCCGCCGGTGCTGCCTCTCCCCGGGGCATACACATCTTGTTCCCACAGTCTGCATTCAACAGCTGTTGTAAAAAGATCAGCTTTCCCCAGTGAGGACTGGTCTGTTGTCTGCCTTGCTGAGACGGTAGTTGTAGAGAGACTGAGGAGTTAGGTTACATCAGTTACTAGATGTAGAGGAGTTACATCAGTTACTAGAAACTGATTCTGGTTTCTTTGGATTCTGCTCTCAGGATAAGATCAGAACAGATTAATCCTGACCCCAAGGGACAGACTTGTTAAAAGAAAATTCTAGGCTTGAAAAATACAAAGTATGAGAATTAAGGTCCTATTTTTTAAGGGGGGCCCCCAGTGGGCTGATAAATAGTAAAAACCAAGCTTGTTGCTGGTACAGTGGTTTCCCTGGTCGTACCTCAGATGACCCAGACACACAAGCAGGTGAAGCCCCACAACCTCCTCCGGACAGCCCAGCTAGAGCCCAGGAACAAGCAGGAGCTGGACTGCTTCACTCTCAACAGGTTCATATTCTAGTACGTTCGCTTTACCGATGGGGGCTGAAAAGCATGGTCACCATCTCCAAAGGGGGCTAGAAATCAGGGAAGTCTTACAGATGGAATTCTCAAATGGATCAACTCCTCCATGGCCCCTGCCTCCTACCATGCTTCCTGGGATCGCACCAGGATGCGGCCGATAATTAAGAACATGATCGAAAGGCTGAAAGATAAATGATTTCTTTGGATTTACATTCTTCTACGACATACAAATGATGACTACGTGAGTCAGTATATGAGAAAAGACCCTCTTCAATGAACGCTAATTATGTGTCCCAAACCTGGATCTCCCGGAAGTCACATCGCTCAGTTCAGCCTACCTTCCATTTGTGCCATCTGAAAGCTGGTCTACTTCCAGCGTAAACCCTGGGAGAGGTACAGAACCCGCCACAGTTTGTCCAACACCCTGACAGTGTTTTATTTCAAACTCTGATCCCTGCCTTGTAATTAAAAAGAAAATTCTGCCAGTCTCTGCTGCAGGAAAAACAGGTATCCAAACGTACTTTCATTGAGACTCAGCAGCTAGAAACACAGTTTAAAAAGGGAGAAGTGGGTTCGTGGCTGTGCATATCAGCCACCCACCTGGGCCCAGCCATCAGCCGTGGTTGCCAAGGAGACAGCTGAAAACACCCAAGCAGGACAGGAGAGGACAAAGGTAGGTCTTTCTACAGCATGATGAAAAGATGACTGACTTCACAGTTCCCAGACTCCATAGCTTCTGGCCATCTCATCAGCCATGTTTCACCCCAGGAGTCATTTTTGCCATCAGGGTTGCTGAAGTTTATGGGCCTCTCCTTGTGGCTCCTCATAGTCTTCTCCAGGTTTCAGCTGGGGCCCAGGGATCATCACCGTCTGAAAGAGCAGGAAGCTGAGTTATCTACCTTCCAGGCCCATGACTTACGGAGGAGAGATTCACCCCCACCTCCTCTATGGAGGATTCCCCTTCCCTGGTGCTGCATCACCCCATTTCTCCACTAGGAGGAGCCCAAGAGGAGTGGCTTAAGATTGCACAGCACTCTCAAATCACGACTTACCTTAAGGATGGGCTGCTTAGGGGGTGCCCATGGGGGGATGACCTTGCCATGCATTCTCCAGCTCCCATAGGGATTTACCAGATGCTTTTCAAACACAACATACTCCAGGACATCCCTGGGCACACCTTCCTGTCCATACATCAACCGGCCAAACCGGTCATAGATGGCCAGAGTCTGCAAGGATGAAAGCAAATCTGGCCTATTAGTACTCAGTTGGTTTGCTTTTTTTTTTTCCTTTTCTATGCCACACAACCATTCTGAAACAACCATAACAAAAAATTTTAATGGGTAGAAAAAATTACCTCGGAATTCTGAATTCAGACTAAGTGATCAACTACTGACAGTTTACTCTTGGAGGGTTTTTGACTGGGGACAGGGTATAGGAAGGTGGGAGAGGGAGGATCAAGAAGGGTGGGGGAGAGTATCCTCACACCTGTCTTAGCAGAGCTAACATCCACAGTGGGAAGGGCACCCTGACAGAGCAAGGAAGACCATGGTGAACCTTTCCTTAGAGCCCACAGTCCTGGGAAACTGTACCCAGGACTCCAGAGGTAGATACCCAACCTGAGAATGAAGAAAAGCTGGGAGGAAAGCAGACTGGTGCCTCTACCTGCCGGGTGTGCATGCGGACGGTGACCTGGCCATATATGTTGCCCTGGTTCATCAGACTTGAACAGCGAACCTGAACCACCTGAGGCGGTTCTAAAGATTCTACGAAGCTCCAACGGACGGTCTTATATTTGATGTCCCAGACCATGTCCTGAGGGCAAAGGAGAAAAAATTCAACTGGGGTTTTACTTTCCTTTAGGAAAGCTGGTGCTTCTGGAATTCCACACCTATTCTCACTTCCAGAGATACTACAGGCATCACCTAACATTTCCCACCAAATGCTTTCTTGTGCCTATTTTTTCTCACCTTTCCAAGTTTTTTTAAAAAATATTTATTTGGGGGGGGCAGAGAGAGAGAGGAGAGAGAGGGGCCCACACAGGCTCCACACTCAGCACAGAGCCCAACTCCGGGTTCAATCCCACGACCGTAAGATCATGAGCTGAGCTGAAATCAAGAGTCAGATGCCTAACCGACTGAGCCACCCAGACACCCCACCGTTCCAAGTTTTGATTAATTTATTGCTCAAGTCCACCTCGAAACCATTCTTTTCATCTAAATCAACAAATCAAGACCCACCTACCTCCTCAAGGAACCTTCTCCAAATCAATGAAAAACATACTCCAAACTGCCAGTTAAAATACCCCATTACCCCTCCCTTACACTTAAAATTTTTTTCCTTAAAAAAACTTTTTTTTTTAGAGAGAGAGTGTGAGCTGGGGAGAGGTGCAGAGGGAGAGAGAGAGAGAACCAGAGAATCTCAAGCAGGGTCCACACTCAGTGCAGGGCCCAACTCAGGGCTCAATCCCATAACCTTAGGATCATGGGTGAGACAAAATCAAGAGTCGGATGCTCAACTGACTGAGCCACCAAAGCGCCCCAAAGATTTTATTTTACTCATTTATTTTGAGAGAGAGCACGAGTCGGGGAAGGGCAGAAAGAGAGAGAGGGACAGAGGATCCAAAATGCCCTCCATGCTGATAGCAGTGAGCCTGATGCAGGGATCAAACTCACAAGCCATGAGATCATGACCTGAGCCAAAGTAGGCCACTCAATCCACTGAGCCACACAGGCGCCCCCCCAAAGATTTTATTTCTATGTAATCTCTATACCCAACATGGGGCTCGAACTCACGACCCTGAGATCCAGAGTCACATGCTCTACCAATTCCAGGGGCCCCTCCCTTACACTTTTATAATCTGCTAGTTCTTGTACATGTTTCTAATGACTGCATATATGTTGTTTTATTCCGCCCCTTGCCTTGTATCAGTGAAGAACAGAATTTTATAGGGAATAAAGGCTAAACTGCTAAGACCAAATTAGTTATACTTGACCACAGGAAGATGAGGCTAAGTTGATAGAAACTGAAGTTCTTATTGTTCTTATTCTTGAACCACAAAGTCCCGATATTGGGAAGTCTCCCAAAGTACCTTAGCACCCTGGCTAACAAAATGTAAGCCTCGTATATGCTAAATCCTTTATTACACTGCAGGCGTGTGTAGGGCTGCCTAACGTGGTCCACACCCTGACCTGAGCATCCATACCCTGAGGTTTCAGTACTGCTTGCTGAGGGACTTCCTCCTACCTCATCTGCCTGGCCCTTACCAAAGTCCATGTCAAGTCAGTACCATTCAGTCAAAAAACAATGGAACCTCAGCATTTGCCTTAAACTTCCTGTACTTTCAAAATCGGCCCTTCTTAAGAACCCAGAGGTAATGTCTAGAATCTATCCATTCAGAACTCCCACAGTTCTAAAGAGGTTGAGAACCTACCGGGAAACAGTTTTCAGTTACCAAGGTATGAAGCCGGTCATGGTCTGAGCTAAAAAAGAAAGAGATACAGATCATTGGCTCTTGCTTTATGACACTGTACAAAAGCTGAAAATAGCCCTCAAAATGGAAAACAATTCCTTTTTACAAACATTCTCTGCATACATACTGTAAGCCACGTAACGTGCTAAGTTACCTGGGCACACAAAGATGACCATGATTTAAAAAAAAAAAAAAAACAATCCTGGGGGGGTGCCTGGGTGGCTGAAGTTGGTTAACTGTCTGACTTCAGCTCAGGTCATGATCTTGCAGTTCGTGAGTTCAAGCCCCGCATCAGGCTCTGTGCTGACAACTCAGAGCCTGGAGCCTGCTTCAGATTCTATGTCTCCCTCTCTCTCTGCCCCTCCCCTGCTCATGCTCTGTTTCTCTCTCTCAAAAACAAACATTAAAAAAATAAATAAAAAAAATAGAATACCCTGAGATCTAATTGCAGGTTGAAGTTATGTTTGAATCTCAGGAGCAGAAACAAATTTCTCAGAAATTACTATACATCCTTAAGATGGGCAAGAGACCCTCACAGATCCATCATAAAAAAAATCAAAAGCTCCTCTCATCTTCTCTTACCTCAAACACATCATCAATACCAAATGGACTGGCCTTGCAAGTTTCACTATTCTTTTTTTTTTTTTCCTTTTTTTTTAAAGTAATCTCTCCTGGGTAGCTCCAGTCCAGTTAAGTGTCAACCGGCTCATGATCTTGCAGTTTGTGAGTTCAAGCCCTGCATTGGGCTCTATGCTGACAGCTCGGAGACTGGAGCCTGCTTCTGATTCTGTATCTCTCTCTCTCTGCTCCTCCCCCCACTCGCGTGCATTTTCTCTCTCTCTCTCTCAAAAATAAATAAACATTTAAACAAATTAGGGGCACCTGGGTGGCTCAGTCAGTTAAGCGTCCAACTTTAGCTCAGGTCATGATTTCACCGTTCATGAGTTTGAGACCCTCATGGGGCTCTGTACTGATGGCTCAGAGCCTGAAACCTGCTTCAGATTCTGTCTTCAACTCTCTCTGCCCCTCCCCCCACACACATGTGCGCTCTCTCTAATACAAACATAAAACATTAAAAATGTTTTTTATAAAAAAAATTAATGTCTACACCCAATGTGGGGCTCAAACTCACAACCCTGAGATCAAGAGTCACATGCTCCTCCGACTAAGCCAATCAGATACCCCATCTCTTACACTCTTATCTGTGAACCTAACCAAAAGATAAGCATCGGTCTTTTCTGGTCCTTTCCTTCCACTCCCCTACCACCTTTGCTGCAACCACAGTGACTTGTTATGCTGATTCTATGCAGTAGGCAGCAATAGTAAGAAAACAGACAGCAAACCCCAGCTCCTGTACATACAGAATTTTAGGAAGTTCCTAACAGACAGGCTTCAAGTAAACCTAAGGTCATGCATGGATTAATGTCTTTCAGATCCACATTCATGACTTTTCCCCACAGTTTAATACCTCCTGGGAAGTTTAAGTCTTTGTTCCTTTAAAAAATCTTGTCCCTGGGGCACCTGGGTGGCTCAGTTGGTGGAGTGTCCAACTTCAGGTTTTGATCTCATGGTTTGTGGGTTTGAGCCCCATGTCAGGGTCTGTGCTGACAGCCTAGAGCCTGGAGCCTGCTTTGGATTCTGTGGCTCCCTCTCTCTATGCCCTTCCCCCACTCATGCTCTGTCTCTGTCTCAAAAACAAACATTAAAAAACAAATTTTTTTTTAAATCTTGTCCCTAATGCTAGAATGGGATTAGTTTTATCCATGTGCTTTGCCTCCACCTCTACTCCTAACAAAAGAAAAGATTTCAAGTCATTTCCCCCACTGTAGCTCTAGACTAGACTAGACTGGACTAACCTGAGTTGTGGTGACAGCTACCATGACCACCAGGCCAGGCACCTCTCAATGAACTCTTCCTCCTCACTATCCTGACCTAAAAATCTTCAGTGGAAATAAATTCCCTTGTCTAAGAGTTCACTTACCATTTACGATAAAACTTACACTGAAAAATAAGAGGAAGACATCTGTTTCTAACAACACAATGGACTGAGCTCATATAAAACTACTCCCACTATAAACATCTAGAAATGTTGGGACAGAATAGAATACACACAAACATACATACATTTTTAAACTCTCCAGCCTACTTCACAAGAAAGGTAAGTCACTAGATGCCAAAAGGAAAGAGAACTAAAACCAGAATGGAAGGAATATAATTTGACACCATGACAGCATATGGGATGATTAAAGAGATCTAGAAATAGGATCTGATGGGCACCTGGGTAGCTCAGTCAGTTAAGCATCCAGCTCTTGGTTTCTGCTCAGGTCATTATCTCACAGTTCATGAGTGCAGAGTACAGAGCCTGCTTAGGATTCTCTCTTTCTTTTTCTCTGCCCCTCACCCACTCATTCTCACTCTCTCTCAAAATAAGATAAACTTTAAAAAAAACTTAAAAAAAGAAAGAAACAGGGGCGCCTGGGTGGCTCAGTCGGTTAAGCATCTGACTTCGGCTCAGGTCATGATCTCACGGTTCGTGAGTTGGAGCCTCGCATCGGGTTCTGTGCTGACAGCTCAGAGCCTGGAGCCTGTTTCAGATTCTGTGTCTCCCTCTCTCTCTCTGACCCTCCCTCATTCATGCTCTGTCTCTCTCTGTCTCAAAAGTAAATAAACGTTAAAAAAATAAAAAATAAATTAAAAAAAAAAAGAAAGAAAGAAACAGGATCTGATGGCTAGGAACAGACTCTTCCTAAATCCTTGAACCCTCAAAGAACAGGAAGTTGGAACTGAGATCCCTGCACAAAGCTAGGACCCTTAAGAATCCTGCACCTGCAGCAAAGGGAGACTACAAAAATAGTTCACCAACTGAGAGATAAAGCTTCTCTCTGTCTAGGGCTGGCTGGGTACGTGTATGGGGGCGGCGGGAGGGGCTAATAAAGTCGTAAGCCCACATTATGCTCAGATGTGAAGACAGAATTTATGATACCTGTATAAGAATTCCTAAGATAAGAAATTAATGTTAAAAACTGGCTGGCTCAAACACACACCTAGACCTATCTAGGTCACTCTAGAACTCTTAAATCAATCAATCTATATTTTTTTTTAGAGAGAGCACACATACACGAGCAGGAGAGAGGGACAAAGGGAGAGAGAATCTTAACCAGGCTCCACACTCAGCACAGAGTCCAATGCGGAGCTTGATCCCTTGACCATGAGATCATGACCTAGCCCGAAATCAGCTGACTGAGTCACTCAGGTACCCGGGTCACTCTAGAACTCTTAACCAAAGGAAAAAAAAAAATCTGTGCCTAGAATAACTGCTAAAAACATAACAGGTATAAAATACGAGTTCACTTACTTGTTTAGACAAAGGTGAGCTTCAATAAAAATATCCTTAGCTTTTTCAGGGAAGTCCTTTATTTTGAAATTAGGATCATGTTCTCTTATCTTCCGGACTCTGTAAAATTAAGTATAAGAATTCTTTCTTTCTTTTCCTTTAATGCTTATTTATTTATTTTGAGGGAAAGAGAGAGTGAGCAAGAGTGGGAGGGGCAGAGAGAGAGAATCCCAAGCAGGCTCCACGCTTTCAGTGCAGAGCCTGATGTGGGCCGTGATCTTATGAGTCGTGAGATCGTGACCTGAGCTGAAATCAAGAGTTGGATGCTTAACCAACTGAGCCACCCAGCTGCCTTTTTTTTTTTTTTAAGTAAGCTCTACGCCCAACTGGGGCTTGAACTCACGACCCTGAGATCAAAAACTGCATGCTCTACCAACTGAGCCAGCCAGGCACCCCAAGGATCATCTCTAAAGACTTCATACAATATCCATAACTCAAAGCTTACATTAACCTCCATTAATGTCTGTTCACTTATTCAAAAATTCTGAATGTGCCAAGCCCTATAAATTCAACCTTCTAACTCACACTTAATCATGCTAAAGAAAGACCAAGTCTTCTCAAAGTGAAATTTCAGAATTCTGGCATCAAAGAAAACATCCTATAAACACTAAGGAAGAAAACACAGGTTTCACACATAGACTCAAGAATCAGAATAACATCAACATTAGAAATTAGAAAGACAATGAAGCAGTGCTTTTAACTGAAGAAATTATTGAGCTCAGAATTCTTTACCTGGGCAAATTATAAATGAAATAGGAGAGTAAGCAAAAGAGCTTTTCCTAGGGCACCTGGGTGGCTCAGCTGGTTAAGCATCTGACTTCAGCTCAGGTCATGATCTCACGGTTCATGGGTTCAAACCCCACACTGGGCTCTGTGCTGATAGCTCAGAGCCTGGAACCTGATTCAGATTCTGTGTCTCCCTCTCTCTCTGCTACTCCCCTGCTCACACTCTGTCTCTCTCTCTCTCTCTCTCTCT